TTCCCCCCCCCCCCCCCCCATCACCCCATCACCCCATCACCCCATAACCCCTCCACACCCACACACACGCACGCACGCACGCACACGCGTTCATTATCAAGTAGCGAATATTTTGTACGTCGCGGGGAGTTGTAATATAAGGTGTCCTACTAGATTTTAATCATAAGTAATATTGGACGAACTCCAAATTTTTATATCTAAAAATTCGAAAAAATTAATATGTCGTTTATAAAATTGAAACTACATCTTTATACTATATAAGTCTAAATAATCTAATTCGTTTTCTACTTTCAATTTCAGTTAATATAATACATATTTCGTCATTAATTTATCTCTACTCTACGTCTGTGCGTAACATGACAAATTCACATTCAAAATAATTTCACTCACAATAAATAAAATCTCATAAAAATTTCATTTTGGCGAATTTGTGCACGAAAATTATACGGAAAATAATTATTTTAATTATTATAATGATAATTGTAAGCAAACGGTCAATAAGCTCGCTAATAATACATGCTCGAGAACAACGATCGTTTTAGTTGTTTGTCGCATGTTATTATGTAGAAGAAAAACTGCAAGACAGCGCGTGCCTTTTCTACCGTCCTTTTTATAGAGCGAGTAGGGGCGACAAGTATTTTTTATATAATATATCAAATGAAAAACACACACACGCACACGCACACGCACACAAGCACACACATCGAAATTTTAGGAAATCAGGAAAGCGCGTGAAACGTTTTTACGACCTACTTAAAAGTAAAGGGAACACATAGAATCAACGAGTTTTCCGAGCATATGGAGACGTTGAAAAAACCTGTATGTGTATGCACGTATGAATATATAAATGTATACATATGCGCATACACTCGCATATTAACAATTATATAAATATATATATTTGTACCACTGGTGGTATTCCCATTGCTGTTTTAAGCGAGCCCATTTTTTCGTAGATTTTGTACTATATTATATTATTAATATTATTATATTACCTTGTACGAACACCATACGACTGCTGCTCCCTTGTGATTTTAGTTCGGCATATCGAATTTGGCAATTCGGAGAAAATCAGCAGCTCGTCGCGAAGACTGACACGGGGTCGAATCTCGAATGCCCGGTAGTGAAATATGTATTAACAATTGTTGCTGTTGAGATTAATGCTAAGTAAAGGCCAAACAGAGAAAAGAAAGCAAACGTATATAGCGCTCGAATTTGCAATTCGATCAACGAAATTTGTATTGGAAATTTTTGATAACGAAATGTCTTACTCACGACTGTCGGAATAAATTTATAAACTTTTTGTTTACTTAAGTGCACCGAGTGCGCAGAAAGAACGACACATTTTTGTTTTTTTATCCTTCGAGATATTAAAGATATAAAGTGATTATATTTGTAAAGTGAGGGATTAGTGAAGAAGTGTTATTATCATTAAGATTATTGTGAGAGGTGGTAGCCTTTAAAGAAAATGTGAAGCGAGATAATCGTATGTGCATTACGTATATTTTTATTACGCACCGTTACTCGCGTGGCACTGGCTATCCACATGGATCTGCATAACGATGATAATGTGATAAGCGACGCCTCGACTGCACGACATTCTGTTTCCATGCTACATATGTATGACAATATAAAATGATTTAGCGATTAATCTAAACGCACATGCAGGCCCACGAAGCGACGAATGCGAAAGTAAGAAGTTTGTGAAATATCACCGCTAAATATTCCTTCGTTGTAATGTGTTTATTTGGTTTAAAAGTGCTCCCCCCCCCTCCCACTCTACCCCCTTTTTATATAATATTATCATATGAAACTTATGTAATAGAGCGAATTACCTAAAACAGTTTTATCATTGTTTACAAATTTTATCTAAATATTACATTCGAAACATTGAGCTCAATTGCGCAGTGTGATGTTATTCGAAATTTTTGCATCTCTCGAATATTTACTTGCATATTCCGCAACTGATGTTACAAATGCCAATTCAAATCTAAGATTAAGATTGCTAATTTTGTTAGTTACATAACACTGCCTCCGAATGGAAAACCTTATGATGATTGTTGACGTCGTTTAATACGCGAGATGTCAAATTCTAACGATAATACCGAGTAAAAGCTCAAGACACTTACGTGCCTACGTGTTAACGTGAGTTATCAATCGAAGGTTATGAAAGTAATAAAATAATAGCGAGAAATAATTTTATTCTTTCGTAGACTATATTAAAATATAATAGGCGGTGGGTTGCGTCAGTGATACGATCGATAGAGTAATTATCGGTGTTAAAAGTGTACAGAGCGACATTCCTGTGAGCTCTGTACCTAGGATTTAAGGAATTTAATTTCTTTCCTTTATTTAAGCCCCTATGTATTCACTTATTACATTTGAGAATTAAAGATGGGTTTAAAAAAAAAAAAAAAAAAAAAAAAAAAAAAAAAAAACAAAGAAAAAAAACAATCGATACTGTATTTATTTACCTATTTATGAATAATGTAATGAATGTACATCGCATGCTCATGCTTGACTGACATTTTTCTAATAACGGAATGTATATTTATTATGTATCTTCCAAATGAAAACAATGAGCTTATGTGGAAACAATTATTTCAATACCTTTGAAGCGAAAATGTCAATCTGCACTGTTGGTTTACATGTCATTTGAAAGCGTTGGTCGTGCTAAAAAATTTCTCAGTACAATAACAAACATAAAATGATAGAGATAATATTTACATTTTATAATTATTTTTAATATTTAGAAATTAGGCATCCGCATTAATTATGAATAATAAAAGTTTTTGGTAAACCTATAAAAATTGTCATGATTTGGATTTAAAAAATAAACGAGATAAAGATCATTTTATTCTAGAACGTCGATATCACAATTTGCCACAATTATGAATCGCGAAAGCTCGCGAGATTAACTCTTACGGCAAAGATTTTCGTTCGATCGTCGAGAAATTAATTCGCAATGCAATGCGAATCGAGAGCAGCAATGGGGCCAATCGCTCATGAGCCATCATACGTATCTTCCCCATAAGTCCGCCGGCGCGCACAATTATTCGTTACTGCAGAGCATAACCCTACCGTACACTTACGATAATTGTTCACTTAACAGCCGATTGGGTATATGGGCTCAGGATGGGAAACGGTTATGGCTTTCGGGCGCTCGACGGTGGCGTCCCTCGATTTTGCGCTGTATAGAAGACGATGCACGTGTAGGCGCTCAATTACCGCGGTCGCGAGAATCCCAGTGGAGGAGAATTGCGCCCGGGAGTGCCGAAGCTACGGCGTCGTGGAAGCGCGCCGCGGAATTCCCTTCGGGCGACAATAGCACCCTGTCAAGTGCCGGCTGCAAGTCCGAGACTAAGACTCTTTGGTCCTTCTCCACCTCCTCCTTCTCCTCCTTGGCTGACTTATGAGCGCGAACGGTCAACTCCTCCCCAACTTCCCTTCCCCGTCTCTTCATCGTCGTTATCATCGCCACACCACCCTCGCTGCCCTGCCCCTCTCTCCCTCCCGCCTGCCACCACCGCCGCCGCCGTCACCACCCTTTTTCTTTTTCGTGTTTCCTCGGCTTTATTCCTCGGACTGCCGGCCGCCTTTTTTCTCAACGAGTCGCTTAGGGCTAAATGCGCGTGATTTCATCCCCACTCGAACCTCTCTTCGTCCGAGCAAAAATTAATTGCCTATTTCGCAATTTTACGGGCACAAGTACGCGGTTCGGCTGAAAGGCGCATGATAGTAATGATTTGTTCGTGGATTCGAATTGTTGGTGGCAGTCTTGCAAGGCCCGGAAGGTGCCTTCCTATTGGTTAGAGGTCTCTTTCGAGCCGGCCCATTCCGACGAATCTTTCCCATGTAGGATGTAGGACTCGTTAACTATAATCTAATGCGTTATAGGGCTTTCCGCTACACTGCAATTTTTACCACAGAGAGGCTCGTAAAAATTATGAAAGTATTTTTTGTCTGGCGCAGCTAAATAACGACGGACGCTATAATTTTTTACAAATTACGTGTTAAATGAGAGGCCCCCGACACTGCGATTTCCATTAGCAAAATTTTTACAATAATTCACGTAGTCGTGTATATATATATATATATATATATACACGACTACGTGAATTATTGTAAAAATTTTGCTAATGGAAATCGCAGTGTCGGGGGCCTCTCATTTTTTTCTTTTATGTAGTTTGCATGCTTAAAATGTTAGCGATAGTCGTTCAAATTGAAAAAACTACACAATCAATGGACTAACTGAAAAGTCGTACATTCGTCGTTAAATAAAAAGAATTATCGTTGATAATCGAGGATTTATTGGATATATCATCTATTAATGACACTAAAACACTGTTTAAGAATGTGAAAGTTTTTTTGTTTACGCTTTACTATTACGACTTGTAATAATTAAGCCATTAACATTATATCGAAGAAATTTGTATACATTATCTGTATTTCCTATTTTATTTAAAAAAAAAGAAAAAAAAAAAGAAAAAAAAAAGAAAAAAGAAAGTATTTTGTAATTTACAACTCTCACGTGTAGGAGCATGTTTTTGAAAAATTCCGAATAGTGCAGATAAGAACTTATGTAAGCACAGAGTGGAGTACAGAATGTAGTAAAGGAAAAAAAGCTGAAATAAGAAAGTATTACCGTTAATGGGAGGCTTTGACATTTTTAGAAATAATTGCATTGGTCATAGGTAATCGTTAAATTGAAGCTCGTCTACGGTGTATTTCGAAATGACAGGCTGTCAAAATTGCGGAAACCAAGGCGGCACTCGAAGAAAATAAGCCTTCAACCGCTATCGTTGAAAGTTACATTTGACAACGCGTCATTTCAAAGTTTATTGTAAACCAGTTTTTGCCTAATCA